GCAAATGCTACATATACTCTTGCCACAATTTGGTTTGGTTTGGGTTGGTTTTTTTAAACAAACAGTCTCTGCTTCTGAGTCCTGGGAAAACCCAGGCTGACTGAGACTTGGAATGGGGGAAAACCCAGACTGGATCCTTCAGGCTGCTCGGGGAATTAGTGAGTAAGATTCCCTGGAGAAATGTTTTTGGGGGTGCTGGGGTCCATCAGTGCTGGTCCCTTTTCAAACATCACCTCCTAATGGCACAGGAGCAGCAATTCCCCAGTGTCAGGAGTCAAGCAGGCGAGGCAGAAGGCGGCTTGGCTGAGCAGGGATCTTCTCTGGAAATAAGGCAAAAAAAGGAAGGTGTGTGCCCGGTGGAAGCACGCAAGTGGAAGTCAAGTGACCCAGGAAGAATTCAGAGATGCTGCTTGCTGCTGCAGGGAGAAAATCCGTGCACTGGTGTGATCCCTGTGCACATCCAAGAATGCTCCTGTTGTGCCCAGTTCAGCTGTTGACTCTCCAGCTGCTCTGATGCCCCCGGGGGCTGTTTGCCATGGGGAGAGGAGCAGCTGGCTGTGCTCTGATGTCTGAGTTTTCCCAAGATACCCATTGTCTGTCTGCAGCACCAGCCTCCACCCTACTTGCTCACTCAGCCGTGTCTGATGTATCTTTAATTAAAGAGGAGGAACAATTTGAGATTTCATTTTCTTTTCTCAACCAAATTTCCTATTTTCATCAGATTTTGTGATGCCCCCTCCCCTTATTTTCATCTTGTGGTTTTGCTATAGAGCCTTTAGTTTGTGGTGTGTTGCTCTAATATAAGGAAGAAACGGGAGAAAAACAGCTTGTTTGGGGCGAGGGAATTAAGATCCTGGGTCAGATGGCTGCTACGGTCATTAACATATTTACATTTTTGCTTAAGAGCCTGGTTGAGGATCAGGGGAGTTAAGGGTGATTGTCATTGAAATGCGGAGGAAACCTTGCATGAAATTGCCGTTAGTGTCCTATTGTCTGGGGGGACGAGGGGGGGCAAAGGGCCTTCCTCATCCCGGCACGTTGGGATGCACTTGTGTGCCCCGGTGGATGGGCACAGGCAGGAGGGACCGCGCTGAAGGAAAGCTCCGTGTGCCTGTGCTGTGGGAGCCGTGCCCGGGGAGCGCTCCCGGTGGGGCCGGACCCGCTCAGCACAGCCCCGCTCCTGCCCCAGGCACTGTCTGTCTGTCTGTCTGTCCCCGGGGCAGACAGAGGTGCCGGGCTGGGCCCGGGACAGCGGGCCCTTAACGAGACCTCATGGACAGACACGTGAAACGGCTTGTGAAGGTCAGTGGCCTCTTTTATAACTGATGGACCCGAGGGCTTTGAGTCTGGTGTCTCGTGTTTTGCACTGGTGCAGCCTCACCTTGAGTGCCCACTGCTCACTGAGGGCAGTTTTGGGCACCACAATAGAAAAAAGGCATTAGAGAGTGTCCAAAGGGGGCAATGAGGACGATGAAGGGTCTGGAGGGGAAGCCTTATGAGGAGCAGCTCAGGGCACTTGGTATGTTCAACTTGGAGAAGAGAAGACTGAAGGGGGACCTCATTGCACTCTTCAGCATCCTCCCAAGGGGCAGTGGAGGAGCAGGTACCTCCTCTCAAAGAAAACGGCATGAAGCTGAGTCAGGGGAGGTTTAGGTTGGCTATCAGGAAAATGTTTTTCACCCAGAGGGTGGTTGGGCACTGAACAGGCTCCCCAGGGCAGTGGGCACAGCACCAGGCCTGTCTGAGTTCAAAAAGCATTTGCACAATGCTCTCAGGCACATGGTATGACTGTTGGGGATGGTCCTGTGCAGAGCCAGGAGCTGGACCCAATGATCCTTGTGGGTCCCTTCCAGCTCAGCACATTGGTGATTTGCTGTGTGTGTGGACACAGGATCCACAGGAGCAGCTCAACCCCTTGATTTTTGTGGCCAGCTGATACCAGAAACAGGGTTTGAGGCAGTTTAAAGTGTGGTGGATTTTGAGCTCTGCGGTGAGAGATGAGATTTTCATGTCCTAAAAGAATTGTTATATGGTTAAAAAATTGTTTAAACATAGATAAGAGAACTCCTTTGCAGGTGGGTCTTAGAGTAGAATGCTCTGCTCCAGGTTGTGGAAGCCATGCTCTGGCCCTGCTCTGAGTCCTTTTATTTCGGATGTCAGTTGTTTATTGTTCCCCTCTTACTCTTTCATGCTGTTCAGATCCACTGTTTTACTTCAAACCTGTTTATAATTAGTATCATTAACATAATGCCAACAAATAATTATACATAATAATGTGGAAGAGAAGAGCAGGCTCCCTAGGCTGTTTGCACTACTGAAAACACCAGCTGCCTTCTGCCACTGCTTTGGTTTGGGTGGGACAAGCAGCAAGACCTGAGCTGGAGGAGGAATGCTGGTGCCTGCTGTTATGAGAAAGAAGCATCCTTGGAGCAGAGGCTCATCTGTAGCCACCAAACAGGCTTCACTGTGCCTTTGGAAAGCCAGCAGCCAGTGACAGTGACATCCTGAGTGACAGGATCTGTCTGCTGTAGCACTAGTGAGTCTGGAGTCATTAGTGTGCCTTTGTGGGCTGGTTTGAAGCTCTGAAGCAGTTGTGTAATTCTTGTTCTTGGTTACAAAATTTTTCTTTTTGGAAGGCTTTAAAGCAGAACAAAGTCTAGGAAAAGTGGTTTGTGATCTGAGCAGCTCTTTTGTGCTCTGGGGACCTGTGTGCTCCAGCTCAGTATCTCCTCTGGCCTTTGAAGGAACAGCCACGTTCCCTGTGGCTGTGGCCCTTGGTCTTTCCTGCAAAGTCCAGCAGTGAGCACAGGGCATGGAGACAGTCCCACACTTCAGTCACTGACTCTGGCCCTCAAAGTAGAGAGGGATTTAAACCCTCAAGGAGCAAATGGTTTTGTCCTAGACAAGAGAAGTTCTGACACCTTAAATGTTAAGATATAGTTAAAGTGGTGCAGTTAAATAAGATGTTGGTTAGGTCAGATGTTTTCAGGAAACAAAGAACCAGTATTTATGGGATTTCAGGTCTTAGATCCATTCACTGAATGACTCATCTCCCAGCTTCTGCAAATTCCCCCTGAGAAAGGTCACCTCAGGTATTATGCTAATGATCCTGTTTTTCCTGGGGATGTGTCTCTGGGATTGGGCACTGCAAATTTAGGCTGGCTTGGGAGTCCCAGCAGGAGCCAAAAAGCGACAGAGCTGAGCCTGAGTGCAGAGGCCCTGACTTCTGGGCTTAGTTTTAGAGTTTGATCTGTTAACTCAAAGCATCAGAGTAGGCCAGAGTAGGGGAGCTAAACTTCTCCAGGGATTATTATTAAGCCCTTGTTTAACAGTAAACAGCTGATGAAATCCACCTTTGGCTCTGGGTGCCAGCTGTCAGGGAGGTACATCCAGGACACTTCACAAGGGCAGGACAACCTTTGGCAGAGAGCAGGGGAGAGTGCCCAGCTCTGACTGTCCACAGGTCACTTGGTTTATCTCGCTTAGTGTAGTCCCCAGGTTCCTCACAGAGGGGCTTCTGCTTTGCCAAAAGGCAGACAGCCCTACTCCAGCAGGAGCTGTGATCTCCCCTCCTCAGGTCAGACACCTCCTCCTCAGCCCAGCAGAGTGCCCGGGAGCAGCAGCACAAAGGTGCTGGGGCCAGGAGGAGAAGGAGCCAGATCCTCACACACGGGCACTGCATCCTCTAAACAAGCTGCCCATGGCTGAGGCTGGTCTGTTTTAGAGCTGTTCTGCTCCTGGTGCCAGCCCTGCTGCTAGAAGGCTGCACCCTCTGCCACCTCCTCCTGCCCACCTCCTCCCGTGCCAAGACAGCGTCTGATCGAGGGCCCGGCGCCTGCTCAGCTTTTGTTCTCCATGAGGAAAGAGCCAGGATTGTCGGGACCTTTTTGGCTCTGCCAAGGCCCTATTATGTCCCAAATGTTTCCATGAAAAGACTCCCTCCTGACCACTCTGCCCCCTGACAGCCATTCAGTCCAGCCAACAAGCTTGATATCATTATCTACAAAAGGAGGCCACTGAGCACCAGGCTCCTCACAGCCAAGTTTGGGAAATCAAAGGCAAATCTCCCAGCAACAGGGAGCTGCTGGAGATCAGACTGCACAGGGCTAGTGAGGGCTGGCCTGGCAGCTTGCAGCAGTTTTCCAAGCACCAAAGAAATGTGCTCGGTGTGGTGCCAGCACTGGCTTTGCCATGGCTGTGCCCTGCGAGCCAGCAGCCTCTCACAGAGGGCCCTGGGGAGCTCAGCATGGCCGGAGGCTGCTGGAACAGCCCTCAGTTTGGACAGCCTTGTAAAGGTGTCTCCCTTCAGTCAGTGGCATTTTTGGGAGATTAACCACTTAGTCTGAGGGAAAACAGTGATGTTTTTGGTCAGAGTGGGAGTCCCTCCAGACCTCACCTGGGACTTTCCTTCTAATGACTCTGGTTTACATTCTCAAAATGGCATGTGGTTGCCTTGTCATTTTTAGTTTGACATAATGCTCACCTGCTTTGCTCCCTGTCCAAAGACTTTCCCTCCAAAACATCTTAAAATAGCTCTTCAGCAGTGAAAGCACCTGCCATTGTGATGGCATCTGTAGAGGTGATCTGGAAAGGTGACTGTCAAAAACACTGAGCACAGAAAGGGCTTGAGGAGGGGTGGCATATTCATGTGGTGCAATCGTGTTAGGAAATAGAGGAGTAAAACCATTTTCAGTATGTTTTATCTCACAGACTGCATCTCTGGTTTGTTTGATAGTCCAGACAGAGAGGGATGTAAAAAACAGACAGGAGAAATGATGATGCAGAGGGAAGGAAGGTGAAGGGGGTGGACGTAGCTGAAGCTTGGGTGGAGATGGGATGGGATGGTGGTGTGGACGATGGTGCCTGTGCTCACCCCTCTCTGCAGGGCAGTGTCACCAAAGCCTGGAGCAGCCCCTGGGGGTCTGCAGCAGGTGATGGATGCACGGGAGGTGTGTGTAACATGGAATGGTTAACTGTGGCCCTTTCCCCTCCCGTCCCAGTTCGATCCTGACAACACTGGCTACATCAGCACTGAGAAGTTCCGCTCCCTCCTCCAGAGACACGGCTCGGAGCTGGACCCCCACAAGCTGGAGGTGCTGCTGGCCCTGGCTGACAGCAACTCTGAGGGCAGGATCTGCTACCAGGACTTCGTCAACCTGGTGAGTGTGTGACTGGCAGGGCCTGTCAGCCCCTGCCTCTGCTGCAAACAGGGGCTGTGCAGGGACAGACTCCCTCTCTCTCTTTCCCTCCCTCTATCAACACCAGTGTTTGCTGTGTGCCTGCACCACATTCTGCTTGGACTTGCTGAAACATTCAGTGGTGACTGAACTCTTAAGCTAAGAGCTGAGTTGCTGCTGATTTTTCCAGGGAAACAAATTTGTATGGGAAGGGACTGTGGGAGCTATTGTAAGAAGATCATGAAGCGATGTCTGCTGCTGGTGTAGAGGCTTTTGCTCTCAATATCACTTGTTAGGTGCAACAAGGAGCCATTTGTTTGCGAGCAGACGTCTGTCAGTCTGGATGTCTCCTGTTTTATCTAGAGATTTCACCACTTCCAGACAAAAATGTATAGATAACGTTGTGTTGACGTGCTGGGTGGAATCACATTGCACTGCTCTAGGCATCAACAGCAGCAGGGAGGAATTATTTCTAGGTCACGTTCATTTTATCCCAGGTGAGACGCCTCAGACTGCATGAGTCATGATCTGGATGCCTCTCTATCTCTACTAATGAGTCAATTAGTGAAGGGATGGCTCCCTTTCTTGTCAAGGCAGTTTGTTGAGTCAACACAAATGTAGACATGTGTTGTCAGATGTCCAGAATGGCCTAGAAATGTTGTTTGCAAGATGTCTTGAGCAGTGGCCAGCCAGGGGCTTTGCCTTTGCACACCTGAGTCCCAGCAGCTTTAGTGCAGCAGTGAGACAAACCTGGGTGAGACAAAGTCACTGAGCAATGGAAGCTAATGTCCCTAAGGTCTCACTGGAAAGCTGGATGTGTTCTGGATGCAGAGTGTAGTCATTTGCCTCTCTGTGTGTTGCTGCACTCAGCGTGGGGATTTGATCCCTTCCTTTGTCGTGGTCACTCATACATGTGCTTTGGGTTTAGAAAGAAAGTGTCTTCCGTATGTCCTGACTTCACATCAATCAGAAAAGTATGATTACGTGGCCTAGCATTGAAGGATCCAGGTCACAGCCTCTGTCAGGCCATGGGCATTGTCAAGGTGACAGTGATGCAATCCCAGACCTGCTGTATCTAACCAGGCTGTCTTGGTAGCCCCTTGCCTGGGGACACAGTAGAAGAAATGCAGCAGCTATTAAAGAGATCACAGTGGTGTGAGGTTTTCCTCAGCTCCAACATAACAAACAGTGTGGTCCAGGGCGCTCAGCAGTGTATTTAGAGCAATAGCTGCTTGTTCTACAGTTTGGGATATTCAAAGTCCCATGCAGGCATTCACTACTTGGGCTGCACTGCACTTGGGTAGCAGGATGAGGTATCATCTCATTTATTTTGCAGAAATGGTGGCCCAGGGCCAGCTAACACAGTGGCACCAGGCTCAGGAGCAGAACTGGGCCTTTTCCTCTCTCCTTGCTCCGCTGGGCTCGGGAGCAGCACGAGCTAATGAGAGGCAGGTGGGAGTGAAATGCTTATACATCCTGCTCCTTTGGGAATAGGGGATCCTGCCAGCTCACACATACCTGATGGATTTCTGCAAAATGGCAAATTTCCTTCACTGCTATTGAATGACTCCTGTAAAGAAGCCATTGATTTTCCTGTCATCAGCCCCTCCATCCTTGTCTGCATTTTTTTGCACTTTCCAATCAATAAGCAATGCAAATGCCAGAACATTAAACTACTTACAAATGACACCTCACTTCTCCTCTACTTTCTATTGATTCCCAACATCCAAACTTTTTTAGGGCTCCTTCTCTTTTCCCTGCCTTTCGAACTTCCTGATGGAAAGCAACAGCACAGTTGACCCAGAATCCCTGTGTAATTAGGGATTTCCTTCACTTCACAGCTGTCGGTCCTGGAAACTCTGTATGGTGGTGTTTAGGTGCATGTTTGTGCTTGATGATCATCAGCCACCTCTGCTTTTTGCTCAAGTTAATTTGTCTATATCAGTAGCTTAGCAAGAATTGACCTGCTCCCCAAGTTGATGGTGCTGGCTGTGAGGAAAGGCTGCTGATTTTACTAAATGCAGAGGTTTCACAAGCACAGCTGTGTATGTGGTTCTCCTTTTCTGCAGCATCGTCATGAACACCAAGAACTCTGCCTGCTCCCTCAAACACTGTGATCCCCAGCTAAAGGACTGTTATTGAGCAAAGCTGTGTTCTCCTCTGATGTCAAAATTCTTTGTGAACTTCTAGATGCACCAAAAATGTTATTATAGGACTCCTGACCTTAATAAGGATGTCCACACGTGTGCCTGCTCTCAGCTCAGGAAAACACCTTAAATCTCTGAAATTGGAAGTTTTGCAATATGAGAATAGACCCTGGAAATCACTCTGGAAATAAATTGAGTAATGAATAAATTCAGGGAAGCTGAAGGCTCCTGGTGTGATCTGCAAACAGAAAAGCCTGAAAAAAATCAGATAATTCATTGGAAATTCCTGCTCCTCTGTATGTATGAATTCATCTCATGTAGTTGTAAAACACAATGCTGCAATCATACCCATTTCTGTTTCTGCACTGGGACTTGCAATAACAGCACAAAGCAGCTTCAGATGGGGCTTCTTATCCTGTGTCTGAGACAGTGCAGAATAACAAACAGTGTTTCCTGTCCAAGGGGGGGCATCTCGTGCCTCTCTGCTGTTGGTGGCTTTTCTGCTTGGGGAGAGGCACTAAAAATGCACAGAGAACATTCTGGCTGTGAGCAGCACAGGTCACAGGAGGAGACAATGGACCAAGGTGTTTAACCAACTTTGCTGCTTCTAGAGAGGAGACAAGCCAGGAGGGAATTACAGCTGAGATGTTATTTGCTGGATCCTTGCTGAACAGCAGTTGCTGTTGGCACTCCTGGACTACTCCACAGAACACCCTGTGAACTGGAATGGAGCTAAAGAAGTCAGCAGTAAGCTCTGAGACAGAGTTCATGTGACTTGGGAAAAAGAAAACACCGCTGCTTCCAACAGAAATGTGGAGCTGTAGCTCTGTAGTAACTTGAAGCTGATGTAGCACCTCAGTAATGCACAAAATGTATTAGCCTTTGTTTTCCAGATCAAGTGTTACCACCCACTTTGCTTTCCCTGGCCTTGCTGGCTCCTAGGGATAGGCTGATTCTACCTCATTTTCAGTGATCAGCACTCATTTTTGTAGCACTGTGTAACAATACTCAGGTCACCCTAATCCAAACTCTTCTGGTGGCAGCACACTCTACCCTTCAGAGAAAGATTTCCCTTAGTTTTTGTGACTCCCTCTGACTTGCTCAGTGTGCTGCCAGGCTGCAAATCCTGCCTCTTCAAGTGAAGAAATAAAACTGGAGAGGGCAGCAAGGAATCTGCAGCCTCTGCTCTTCCCCCTCATGAGTGACAGATGAGCAGGTCTGTTGGCCACCAGAGAAGGCGAGAGGAGGGTCTTTGCAGGAGTTTCTTACTTCATGGAAGAGGCTGGAACATGATTAGGTGTTAGTGGAAGGGTGTCTTGTGCTACAGGCTGCTGAGCAGGACATTCAAATGGGCATTTCTGTGTCAAAATATTGCTGGAATCTTAAAAACAAGATAAAATCTGCGGGTGAAGGAGATGAAATGGCTTCCCAGAGTCTCACGGTCTGTGCTCGTGGATGCAGTAGAAATACAAAGGTGAAGGTTTAAATGCCAACTCTCTTGTCCTGGGGATCTGTGTTTGAAGAGAGGAGCAGGACTGGCTGAGGAGATAAAATACTTTGGGATTGTGTTGCAGTCCACAAACAAAAGCAATGAGTCCAAAGTGGATCCTGGAATGTTGTAAGTGGGAAACGAGCTGGAGGCTTTGACTGGCCCTTTACAGCTTCATCAGTCTATAGGAATTTATCATGTCTCATCCTAAAGGAAAAAACCAGCAGAATAATGAATTCCCACTGTAGTTTTAACACTTCCATGGACTTTTAAGACTCTGTAATGCAGCACAGAAAGATATTTTAAAATGCTCTCCATTCAAGGACAATTAAACTAAGTCCATTAGATACTGGCTAAAAGCAGCAGCAGAAGAGAGGACTTTCTTCCAAGTAAACTAGTCTGGCAAACAATCATTATGCCAATTAAAATGAAACTTAGCATAGACATTTCCATCCCTAGCCATGATTCCTCACCTGTTTTCAGTCACATATATTTGAAACCAGAGAAATGCAATGTCAGCTTAAATGGTAGTTTTAATTGTGTGCATGTCTAAAATACACACATGAGTGGGAAATGTTATAAAGATATGTTTTTTTTAAAAAATTGCTTCAGAAAATTCAACTGGATTAATTTCAGTTGTGGAATCTTTCCCAGCACCCATGGAAAGTGGAACAGGCATTGGGGATTTGAAGTTTCAAACTTGCTGTGTTCTGACACAACGTATTTGAAGCACAATGTTGGTCTTGTCCTGCAAGCAGCTAACTTTGGAATCTGAAAGTGGTTTGCCTTTTCTGTTGGGAGTGCTGGGAGGTCTAAGCCTGGCACATTTAACAGGCAAAACCTTGAGCAGGGAAGACCCCTGCAATGACCAGGATAATTTATTTGGTCTCTTCTGCCTCTTTTTTTTTGAGTAACCACTGCTTGGTCAGACCAAATCAGGATGTTGGTATTTGCTTTTTTCCCAGTTGATACTGTTTGGGAAAGTGCCACCAGGTTGACTCAGAGGATGTGAACATCTGTGACAGATGAACTTGATGCTGAGCTACGAGCTTTGGGAAAAGACAGCTCTGCCCACATTAGCATTTTGTAGAAGTGAGGAGTGAGGGAAGGAAATAAATGTGAATCTTGAAAGCAAAATTGATTGGAGAGGTTGAATTTGTAAGTAAAGTGGATTATAAAACTGGAGCTGGCAGAGGCTTTTAAAAAGCTTGTGCTAACTTTTGATTTAGTGTTCTGTGTCTTGGAGAATCAGAGCTGAATGGAAGGCCTGTCACAGAGCTGGGTGTGTTTAAAAATAGCTCCAGACCAGCCTCAGAGGTGCAATACGTAACGGGCAGAAATCCAGGTTTTTCAAAACCTCCTGAGTGAGACTGAAGAAAGCCATAAAAGGGTCCTGTGCCCCACACAAGCTGTGAAACTGGAGATGGGGGAAATGCTGCATGATTATCTGAGGGAGCCACAGCAGTACAGGTGGCCAAGGAACACAGAGGAGCTGGGCTGCCAGAGGGAATGGACAGCTCCCACTGCAGGCTGCAGATTAGCCCAGCCCCGTTCCAGGCTTTGCACCTTCCCAAAGTTTGGCACTGTCCCACATTAGACAGCGAGGACTCATCCTAAGCTTTGATGTTTTCAGTGTTGAAGACAGATTTGGGTCTATGTAGGAAAATATTTTCCTTTTGGACAGAGGTACCACACCCAGCCTTTGAGTGGAGCTGGAGCTCTAAACCTGGCTTTGTTTGGATATGGGTACCAGTCGGGTTGGCTTGGCTGTTCTGCAAGGGAAGTTTCTTTCTCTCTGCATAATAACATTTTGCAGGCCTGAAGGACTGAGGGAATGTGTTGTTTCCCCACTTCTACCTTCGCTCTCCACACACAGTTTGCTGTGCCCATCTGCTTGCAGCTTTATCATCACACTCATTACAGAAGTCACAGACCAGTTGCATGAAGAGAAGTGGGATGGGCTGCCATGGGCTTCTGGAGCTGCAGTAATGTGCAGGCCAACAATGGGCCCAGTGTTCTTTTAGCTGATGATTAAGTACTTGGCTCATAAATACCAATATTATGTAATTCCAAAATCAAGTCAGCAAATTGTGACCATATGCGAGACTCCGTTTAGGAAGACTTGAGTCTTCCAAAGTCAGTCTGAGGAACAAAACAGGCTTCTGATTAAGAGCTTGTGAGAGCAGCAGTAGTGACTTAATCCTCTTGTCTCTCCTCATGCCCATCTCCTCCTCACTTGGTCCAAAGGCCTGTGGGGTTCTGTGAGTAGGGCCAGGACTGTGATGCTTCCTTGAGCCCTGGCAGTCAGCTCTCATGTCAGCTTCTATGTGGGGTGTGGAAGGTCCTGTGGTTTATTTTCCTCTCTGGAAGGAGGAAGGCAGAGCTTTGTGCTGAACAGAAGGGCTTGAAAGTAGTACAGCCTAGTGATCAGATAAATTGTGCAACTTGGATTCTAACTCCAGTTTACAGCCTTGGGCAAGTCACTGAGTGTTGGGAGGTCCAGATTCCCACCTCCCCAGGGGAGCCAGAGGCTTTGTTCACCTAAGGTGTGACTTCCACAGCGATCTGCAATATTTTGCTCTTAAAGCTAAGAAGACCTTTCCCTCCTGATTTGTTTTTAGTATGTTGAGGAACACCTTCAGAAACACCATGCTGATGAATTTGCAGTGCCCTGGTTGTTGTCTGGGCTCGTCAGCAGGACTGCAGAGAGGTCACTGGGGTGACAGGGCAGTGCTGAGTCCAGGTGACTGAACAGAGCCAGTCCCTTTGTGTCCTGCTCAGCAATAACAGAGGGTTCAGCAGTGCCTGTGTTGGATTCTCTGCTCGACAGACACACGGAAATTGTTGTTAAGAGCTCAGCACAGACATGAACATCAGCAGCCTTTGCAGTTCCCTGTCCATCTCTCTTGGCAGTCTCTGTAGGGATGATCTGCTGAGGGTGGTCAGCACTTCTGGATGCTGAACTGCAACAGTGATTTTCCTTTGAAACAATTATATTTTCCACTGAATGCTGCAGCAGGGAAAAGCACTGACTGTTTGGTGGAAGGCAGGAAATCACACGTCACTGTAATTAGAATAAACACATCAGCAGCTTCAGTCAACTGTCTGGTATCTTCAGGCCAGTTTATAGTTTCAGTCTGGATTTAATTCTTGTCCACAAGAGGAGCAAAGGCAGAGAGAGCAGAATGAACTGTGTGAGGGAGCACTCACAGAACGGCTCCCACAGGCTGCTCAGAACTGACCTGAAGTGAAGCTTTCTTCTGCAGACACAGTGAGCTCACCAGGTGGCTAAAGGTACCTTTGAAACATCTGTTACCTACCAAAAAGCATCTCACACATCCTAAGGAAAGCCTTACACTTGGTGGATGTTTCTCTGTGACATTGTTGTCTTTCAATATGAGTGGGCTTTCTTAATGCAACAGAAGATCACCATCTTCATTTGCCCCTCATCTTCCCCAGTTTTAAATAAAAGCTTTTGGGTGATAGACTTGAGAAGACTGGAAGAAAGATCTTTGTGGACCTTTTTTTTTTTCCTTCTTTGCCTTTTCTGCTTCTTTTGCCAGAAATGTTGTTTTATAACTGTTTTCTGAATGAGCGAAGGAAAGAGAGAGAAAAGGAGAGAGTCGTTAGGGTAAACCATCTTCTCACTCAAAGAGAACAGCAACAACAACAATTTTTTCCCAAGTTTTTAAAAAATTAAGAACATCCGTTCCCTGTCAGTGTTCCTATGGGAGGGACAGGCTGCAAACTGAAGCTGAGGAGGGATGGGAAGCTGCTGGGAGAGTGGGTGCAGCGCCATCACCTCAGATGGCCCCTGGCCTTTCTTCAGTGATTAACAGGAGGTGGTTCCCTGCAGTGATTACTGTGTTTTAAGCAGCTTGGTCCAGCTTGGAGCAATTCCCCATCTGACTGGGCACTGGGCTTTGCTGGCTTTGGGATATCAGCTGGAACCAGCGTGATCCAAGACAACTGGGAGGCAGTGGTGTGTCATCTCTTCTTCAGTTCTGGGAGGCTGGAGATGCTGCTGAGAGCATTTAGCAGTTCTCTCAGAAGAAGGACCAGGCTGTCATGTTTGCTTTGCTGCTTGTTTACTGTAAAAGGTCCCTCTGCAGAGGTCTGTGTGCACAGTGAGGCTTTGGAACTTCCTGCCAAAGATTCAGCCAGTACAGACAGTGACTCTAATGCAGGAGGTTTGTTTGACATCAGGGCTAATTAGCAATTATCCAAATCTTGGAGCAAGCTCTTTCAGACCTGGTTTGTTCCCCCGCCCCCAGCAGGCTCGGCATAAAATTCCATCTGCCTAATTTGCAAATGCAGTTGCTTTAATTATGCATCCAAATTGGGAAAGTGTGTGCTCAAAAAGATAGACAGCTAAATCTATGCATGTAAGATGATAATGTATATACCAATTAGCTGTGAGCCTGCTCCATCTCAGAACCTGCCCCCTCTGAGGATGACTTTTAAAAGAAGCCTTGTAAAGACTTCCAGGCTTACAGGAGCTAAGACAGCCTGTACACAGGATTAATTTGTTGTTTTGTTGCTGTTGCTTGTGCAGTTTTGTTCTACACAAAGAGATGATTTTCTTTGCCCAGAGCCAACTCCTGCCACAAGAGTTAGAGGTGCTGTGAATGTACCTGCTGCTACACTAGAGAAACTTTCTGCCCCAAGAGATGACAAGTGCAGGGAAGTGAGATTGAGCAGGGATGGAGGACACAGGAATGTGGATCGTGATAACTGATGGTGAAGGCTGGAGAACAGGCCAGGGAGCTCAGCCAGGTGCATCAACAGCCTCTGTTGTGCCCTGACCTCATTTATTGGCATCATCATGGCAGCCCCTGGTACTGGTTTTCCTTGCACCCCACTGATCACCCAGGATCATCCTGAGGCTCAGTTCCTAAAGACCCTGGTGGGGTCTCTCTGCTGCCAAACCAGCGCTGTTCTCCCGGGATGGTTGTGCCAGGCCTTGCTTTGCCCTCATGGCTTCTTCCTTTTCTTTTTGACCCAGATGAGCAACAAGAGGTCGAACAGTTTCCGCCAGGCCATCCTGCAGGGGAACAGGAGGCTGTGCAGCAAGGCTCTGCTGGAGGAGACGGGGCTGAGCCTCTCGCAGAGGCTGATCCGGCACGTGGCCTACGAGACTCTGCCGCGGGAGATCGACCGCAAGTGGTACTACGACAGCTACACCTGCTGCCCCCCGCCCTGGTTCATGATCACCATCACTATTGTGGAGGCAAGTACCCCAAAAACCTCTGGGAACCCTCCCCACGCTGCCAAAGGCTCTGCTGGGGCACAAACAAGGGTCAGAGTGGGACTCATTTAGATCCAGGCAAAGACAAACATGAAGCTCGTGGCCACTTCGGTTCCCTGTCGGGGTGTGTGTAAGTAGAACTGTGATCCTGTCATTGAAACAATTTGTGTATGACAGAACTTGGGAAACTACAGCAAAACTTTCTGAGGAGTGAAAACTGGACAGTTCTAAGGAAACTGGTATTTTAATAATGGAATTGGAAGACAAATTTTTGTATGGCTGCCTCTATTATGTGAACGGAGAGAAAGAGGAGGGGAGAGAAACTGGGTTAAATATTCTGACCTGCTCATCTGTTACCCAGATGAGATCTCAGCATGCTGAGTAATGTGCTGGAGAGAGGAGGATATAACGTGGGCCTGATCAGCAGGGTGCTGAGTTCCTGACTCAGTGGCTGGTGTGTTACAGAAGGCCATATACAGAGTTACCTCAATGTGTTGCAGGTTCCTCAAAACAGGGAACTTTCGTGCTGTGTGACGCTGTCAAATGAGAGAAAAATTATTGTATATGCAACTTATTTCTCAATGCTTTTGAGCTACAAAGTGCTTTTCAGTGAGAAAAGGCATCTGCTCACCAAGGAATCTCTCTGCTCTTCTAGGTTGCCTTTTTTCTTTACAATGGAGTGGTATTAGACAGATTTGTGCTGCAAGTCAGCCACCCCTTGTACCTGAAGAATGCACTGCTGTACCATCCCCAGCTCCGTGCTCAGGCTTGGAGGTACCTAACCTACATATTCATGCATGCAGGGTGAGTACTGACAAACTGGAGATTCCCCACAGGCCAGGTTCCCCAGAGAGAGGGAGGAGGAGGAAGTGACAGAATCAGCTCAGAAATAAATTTTTAAAAATCAACTCTAAATTGTGTGTAAAAATCTGGAGCTGTTGTGTAGTGTTGAGCCATGGGGGGCAACCCTTTGCAGCTCTCTGAAGGGAGAAGGCAACACGAGGAACTTCAGAGATGTCTCTCTTCTCCCCAGCAGTGTTGGCACCATCTTGCTGTACACTTCCCAAAACTCACCAGGTCCAAGCCCAGTGTCCCACTAAAGGAGCTGTGCAGGTGGTAGGAGAAGTCTGCAAGGATGCTGGACTGGTATTTAAAAACTCCAAGGGTGTGTTCTTGCTAGACTGCCTAGCTGGGGTTGGAAAAGTCACTTAGATGTGCCTGTGATATGTCATCACTTAGGAATGTCCCTCCTGCAGGGACTGAGGTAATGCCTGGAAGCCAAGACTGAGCTCCCAGTTGGTCCACACTGTACAAACACCAGTGTTCCCAAAGAGCTGCCAATCCACTGACCACATGGACAGAGAAAGGTCCATCTCATGCAAAATGCAAAAGGTGCACAGTAAAATGAATCCTCCTACATTCATATGCAGCAGACTTGGGAAAAGAATACAAGGCATGGGATCCTAACTCTCTTCTAGCCCTCCCAAAATTCCAACAGACTTAGCTGTTTCTGATGCCATGGTGATGAGTGAGTGCCACAGGAAAGTTCATCCCTATACAAAACACTCTACCCCCTCAGAGCAGTTTCTCAGATCATTATCTTCACACATTCCTGGCAGATAATTGCAATTTTCTTTAATTCTGTCATTGAAAAAATTACAGCAACAAGCCTTTCAGCAGTAGTTTAGAGTTTGAAACTGCATAAGGACCCTTTGTTCTTAAATAGAAAGCCTTTCCCATCAGTCAATGTTCTTCTATGAAAGATCAAGCTGATCTTTTTCTTTTTCCATGTTTCTGATGGAAGATATGCTGATGTCTCTTCTCTGCCATGGAATAACTAACTGCCTTGGGGTGTAATTGCCCTGAAGCACAAAATGTGCCCCAGATCTCTGGATAAAAATCACAGGACAGAACAGACTCCACTCCAGAGTAGGAAAAAGTTTTTAGAAGAAACTTCTGAACGTGGCAAAATCTGTACTCTGTGTGTTGAGTCCCTCCAAGGAATCCACTGGACACAGGTTTCAATGTGCAAGAGGAGGCTGCTGGGCTTAGACAGGGGGCTGGTTTTGTAACATGAGAAGTGGGAATTTCCATTGCTGAGGATAGGAGGAAAACTGGGCTTGGAAAAGGAAAGAACACTTGATTTTAGCTAATGTTAATTTGTATTTGGGCTTTCTGCTGCTGCTGGTGGTGTTTCACTGCATCACTCCCACGACCACAGGTTGCTTTGGGATCTGTTTGCAGAGAAGCACCTGCACAGGGACAGGTTTTGTGTCCTGCTTCCCTCAGCTGTGCCAGGTGACCCTTCCCTGGAGCAGGCAGGACTCTGGCATTGCTCACACTCCCAGGTTTATGTCACACACTCCCAGGTTTATGTCACCCCTGTGGCTGGCCCAGAGTGGAGCAGCGGGGAAGGTGTTGAGCAGAGGACTCCTTGTGCTGATGGATTCCAAATCCTTTAGCTACACAGCCTGAAAAACAATGGAGAGTCCCCCTGGAGCAATAAACCCCGTGATTTATCTGCAGTGTGTGGAGTTAAGCTAAATGTTCCTTTATTGCTGACTTCTGTGTGTGAAGCTCCTTTCTCGGGAGGAAAAACAATAAATCTTGGAAAGGTAATAATGTTTTTAGTGGATGCCCATCATTCTCCTCTCGTTTTCAAACGGGAGGATAACACAATGCCATGGGTCCATTGTTATCCTGCTTCCAGCTGAGACTTTTAAATGGAAATGTGGACTGCTCCTTAATTTAGTGCACTGGGTCTTTTTTTGAAGAGCCAGCGGCAGCCAGAAGGTGTTGGGGAAGGCAGCAGTTGCTAGGGCTTGGCTGGCTGTGCCTCTAGAAAGATTCCAAAAATGTACAGGCTGTGTGTTGGTCCTGGTGGAGGCAGCTTTGTCCAAGGCTGAAAAGGCAAAGTTGTAAATTCTGCCCTTCTGCTTTCATGAAAAGCAGACGTTGATTATCTGAAGCCCACACATTTGTATCACTGCCATAACTAATGACTCGCATTGATGCTCAGTCCCATTTGTTTGGTCCCAGGGAAGGAGAAAGTCTTTAATAAATTAATGAAATTGTCATTTCAAGAATGACACATTCAGCACTGGCAAAGGGTAATTATATTTTATGGGTTCTTATTGACTGTGGAGCCTTCAAAGCTCTTATCATGATGGGGAAGAGAAGTGAATGGGATTGCTCCTGGGAAGTCTTTTAAGAACAGCTGTGAATCAGAGCAGTCCCTTTAGAGTCCAGGATAAACTTTGCTGAGCTCTTACAAAAGCTTCCTTTGAAAAATCAGGTCCAGGGCTTTGTGTGAGAATGTCAGGTGGCACCTCATGACATTGTGTGCCAGCCAAGGCTTCTGCCCTCCCCTCTGGGAAAGGGCACTGGGATGCTTTGACTCTTCTCTGTGATCTCAGTCTGACCTTTGCTGGTTGTTCCTAATCCAATTCCTGAGTTCTGTGAACACGCAGGACCAGAACAAGTGCCAGAGTATGACCATGTCCAGTGGCTTCCAAAGTCTTGAGGAAGGGAATGAAAGAACTCAGCTCCATGCAGCAGCTTCCCATGATGACAAATTGCAGTGCTGAGTGTCTCGTGCAGGAGAGAAATTTATCTTTGGAGAGAAATTCAATGCAAACAAAAATATTAAGGTGTCAGGAAAGGACTGTTTCCTGCAGTATCATTTCTAGCAGTTTTTTCCGGTCCAACTTTAAATTCTCATTTATGAGGCTGTTCTGTCGTTACTGCATCTCACCAGCAGTGTTTTTCCCTGATGTATATGGGAAATTGCTATGGTAACATGAAAAAAAGACCAAAACAGTAGAAATGCATACAACTTAAACCAAAGATTGCTGGTGGCTGCCTGTGAGCCACCTTTTTCTTGTGCAAAATGGGATGTAGGTTATCAAAGCATTTAGCTACCTTGCTTTCTTTTCCCCCAAAAGACATTGGCCTTCTGTGTTAAGGTACCACTGTGTCATTTAGATCCACCTGCTTTGTGAGCAGACTCAGGTACTCTCCACACAAAAAGCAGGATACTCTGGCTCCAGTGGGATGTCACAGCCCTGTGAGCCCAGGCAAAATCTCAGGCACTACCTCGGTGTTGAGGACCCTGTTCAGGGGCCTGGTGCTGTTTTTACCTCACTGGAAGATCCTGCGGATGGAAAATACTTTTTTAGAGCTTTGAAAAGTGGCAGGACAGTTTTGTTAAGTTGTATTGATTAGAGCACCAAAGAACTTGCTTTGAAACTATTGATTCAGCTCAGGCCAAAGCTGCTGCACTGGAGCCTTTACCCAAGGTGCACATCTGAGCTGTCCCACTCTGCCCCCAGGCTGCGGGTGGCTCTGCACAGTGGGTCAGGGGGGTTTCTCCAAGAGTTCTCTCAGCTCTTCCCCTAGTGTTCAGCAGGAGTTTTGCTATGGACAGTACTGGGATCAAAGGTAGGTGAAGAGAGAGCTTCAGTGAATACACTTGGCCCTGACCAGAGATCAGAACACCCTGTGCTTCCCATTCTGACGGGGATCACATGGAATTAGGCACGGAAAAGAGTCAAACAGCACACACTGTTAAGCAGCATTATGGTTCAACTGCCTTGGAACTTCCAGACTCACCTCATTCTTGACTTAACACCCCCTCCCCATCATGGCACTGTGATGTGCAGGGAAAGGCTCTGTCATTAGGAGGGGAGAGGAGAAGAGCAGGTCAAATTTCTCCCTTCTGTTCCAGGCTCTGCTGCCATCTTGCTGCTTTTTTTTGACAAGTCATTTAACTCCTTCAAACAAAGAAAAAAAGAAAAAAAAATTCTGACTAAGAACCAAACATTCTATGAGGTCTTTGTCTGAAAGGACCTGGGTGGATGTGAAAAAGATAAAAGCAGCAAGGAGGGAAGAAACATCCCAGCTCTGGGCCTGAGTTTTTCAGGAACCATTGTTTTTCCCAGCATTACAATCTATTTACATGAAGCAGGTGCTGTTTGATTGTTCTTTCCAAGATATCTCTGCCTCAAGGGTAGACAAAGAGTTGGAAGAGAGGACAGCTGTTGTTTTTCCTTGCTGCAGGATAGAACACCTTGGACTCAACGTTGTCCTTCAGCTCCTGGTCGGGGTTCCCCTGGAGATGGTGCACGGAGCGGCGAGGATCAGCTTTGTGTACGTCGCAGGAGTTGTGGCAGGTAGGTGACACCTCTGGATGCCCCGGGTGGAGAAGCAGCTGAAAATGGCCTGTGCTGACTTTGATGTAGGAGAAATGTTTTGTGACGTTTGGGATCAGGAGAAGAGCAGTCACTGATCTTCTGTGCACTGAAATCCTTCTGGGGGCTGGAAGTGGGAAGTGTGGTACAGCTGGACATCTATTTCTATCCAGCCACAGGCTCTGTGTTTAGGAGACCTCCTAAAAAAGCACCAACAACCTGCTACTTTAAAATAGCCTTATTTTAGATGGTCTTGCTGAATGTGGAGGTGATGCTGGTCCTGTGCCAGATCTGCCTCCATTTGTCCTATCAGCTTTCTACAGCCTGAGTAAGCAGGAAGTATTTGGTTGTAGGTTGTGAGCAGTGCACAGCAGTCTGGAAAATTCATCTGATCATGAAGCCACAGGATTTGATTGATTTTCAGCTTGTGCTGTATTGCTTTTATTTATGTTTGGAATTTCCAGCAGTTTGGAGGTGATGGAAGTTAACTGACAATAGATCAACATCTAATTAAAACAGGAGGAGGGTGTGAGAACAACCAGAAGCTTCACAGTGGAACTCAGACAATGACTGACTGCCTCAGTTCCAGATTTATGGTGTTTGGTTGGGTGTATTTTCCCAGCTACGTAATTATTTTTTTCCATAATGAGCAGATAAAGCCTTTGTAAAATGGGCTGTGTTGGGTACTAATAAATCCTACATTCCAGGAGAGAGACTGTGGAAAGAGTAATTGGACTAGGACACAGGACGAGGCCCGGTACAAACACCACACTATTTAATGCAGAGAAAGGAATTAGCAGACCAGCTCCACTGTCCCTGGACTGTGATTTTAAAAAGCACTCACTGAAGTGGTTCCCAATTTGCAACTTCCCAGCTTTTCTGCATAGATACATCCACCAAAGCCTGGAGATTCACTGGTGTGTGTAAATATACTCACCTGTGCCAGGTGAGGGAGGCAGGGGAACACTGAACCTGCTGCAGTTGAGCCCAGGGGAGCACTGGGAGTTTCCAGCTGCCTCTCACCTTCCTGAGGCCACGGGCTTGCCTTTCCCACCTTATGTCCTATAAATTCTAGAAGAAAGTGCCAAATGGAAAGGGAAAACTTCCTTTCTTGGTGCAGAATGGAACTACAAATGAGACCAGACAGTGCCAGGCAGAAAAGCATCCCTTGATACCCATTGGAGTTGTTAGCCAGTTGTGAAACCTGCTTAATTCTTTGATATGTGCCAGGAGAGATAGAAGTAGATATACTCATGATGAGGATGTGGCAATATAAGGATAAGTCAGTTCCTAAACAGTCAGGAATAAACAGTAAAATGTAGACATGGGCCACAATTTTATGGGTTTTTTCTCATCTGTCTGACATGACTAAGAAGACACGTTGAAGCTGAAATTGAGTCTCAGTGCAGCGTCTGAGGACTTAACTGCAAGTTCTCATTACTCCTTCCTTTATTCCTCATTAACATTTTCCTTAATGGCAGTGTTGAGGAGCTGAAGAGTCTCAGAGCCATACAGTGAAGGAGGGAGCTGTCAGCACAGTTGCCTGGTGGAACCTCAGCACTTTCTTGACCCAGAATCAGCTGAGCACTCAGCACAGAAGTTCGTTAGATTATGTACTACTGAGGACTCTCTCAAGATTTGCCAAAGTGTCTTTTTCCTGTTCCTGCTCATCAAAAAGATCTTCATTATCCCTGCCTTGTGACACCAAATCTGCCTTTGTCTCTCTAGCTCTGAAATTACTCTTAAATTTGGCAATGAAAGGAGCTTTGAGCGGATCCAAGCCTCCAGCTGGGATAAGGAGAAGCAGCGTCTGTGTTTGGGTGCATTGTTACCAGTGGTGCCTTTATGTGATTGACCTGTCACTTTGCTGTCATGTGTCTCCTGCCCCCATCCAGGATATTTTTAGCTGATTTTACTCTGAAGTTTTACAAGTAACAAGCTGTGCTTTGATCAGAGGCCTATGCTAAGTTACAAGTCCAGAGTTCCTTCTCCCTGTGCAAATATTTGTCTTGCCAACATGGGAGCTCCTTCTATTTTATCATCAGGTGAGAAACAGGACACAGACATTTGTCTGCCTTCTGCTTCCTTGTTATTTCAATCAGGGTATAAATGCCTTTTTGTAGCACAACTCTAAAGATACTTTGCTGCCTTGCTTGGCTGCTTTTAAAGTAGGTGCAGAGGAATCAATCACTCACCGTCTTGGCAGTTCTAAAGGACTGGGTTGGCTCCACAAGCCAATCGATTCCCCCCTCTTTCTCTTTCTATATTACTGACCTGCAGCAATTAGCATGACCAGGCAGTAGCAGGGATGTGGGGGAGGAGAGGGAGTGGTTTTTTTGGCTGGCAATTGTCCCAAACCCTTGTTCTTTCTGCAGGGTCCCTGGCAGTGTCAGTGGCTGACATGAGGGCGCCGGTGGTGGGCTCCTCTGGAGGTGTGTATGCTCTTGTCTCCGCTCACTTGGCCAATATAGTGATGGTGAGTACCAGAAGGACTGTCTGACCTCTCCAAAGTGAGCCAGGTGGCCCAAAGGGCTTGGAAATAAGGCCTGGCTCAGCTGTTGGTCATTCAGAGTTAAGTCTTGTCTCAGTGGTGTGCTCCTGCAATGGGAATGTGACACTGGGGCTGGTGGCTCGGTCCCCTGATGATTGGCAGCTCGCCAGGAGAAGCCAAAGGTGCTGGTAATCCAAGACTTACCAGTGTTCTCCAGGCTATCAGCTATCCTTGCAAGGGCTGCCAAGTGTTTGAGGAGAAGGAGCTGCCTGGCTCTGCAGAAGTTGCAGACGTGTTTCTGTCTGCATGGGCTGTGTAATTTTACTGGGTATCTAATGAAATTTAGTGCTCAGTGGACTCGTGTGCAGAACGTCCCTTATCTCCATTTGTAAAACCCAGACTGGAGCTGAACCCTGGGTGATCTGTGATACCTCTTTTGGCTGTTTCACCTAATGAAATACTTCACAAAGGTCAGTAAACAGCAGCAGCATCATTCCTCTAAAGCTGGAAGCAGGAGCTCCATCCCAGCCCTCCCTAGGTGGTGGCAGAGCCCAGCACATCTGCCTGGGGGTCTCCTCAGCTGACACTGGCAAAAAGGGCTTCGCTGAGAGAGGACTGTGTGTGGTGGCACAGGGGTGCGTGTCTGTCCTGTGCCAGCAATGCCAGAGCAGAATAACCATAAAAATGATGATAATCCTTCTCCCCTGGCTCTGAGTGGGAAGATAACATGGTTTGGCTGCAGCAGAGAAAGAAGGTCTGTTGGATGGGTGCTGGCAAACATGTGAGTGTGTGGTGGTCCTGGAGTCGAGCCTAAAAGAAAACCTTGTACTTAAAGCTTGTGTGCAGTGCAGTCAGCAGGCTCCAGCTGTGCCCCACAATGGTGCTGCTCCAGACGGGCTTTGGAGCAGCTGGAAGCAGGGAAATGAGTGATTTCCTGAGCATAACTGGTCTCCTTTGCCATCTTCAAGCTTTTCAGAGCATGAATGAGCTGGGGCTGGTGTCCAAATTGGGACACTTGAGGGCTGGCAGAGGCAGGGGGAGTGGAGGAGAGGGGCTACCCTGTACCACAGGGTTTCTGCTGGGGAATTGCCTCCTTAGATACAGCTATTTTTAGTATGATTTGTGCTCCCTGCCACGGTGCCAACAGAAGCAGGAGGGAGCTTCCTCTGCCTCCCAGGGTGGGAATGCAGACACAGGGGTTTTAACACTACAATTCGTAGGAACAAAGGTTGCTTTAGAGGAAGAGGCTCTGCCAGAGGTGTGTGGAAAGTCTTCAGCAGTTACCTTCCCAGACTTCTTCAAACATCACAAAGTGGTCTGTGATTTCACTGCTCATTGGCCTCCTCCAAATTTATTTACCAATTGCAACCTTAGCATCTATATTTCCCCATTATCCACTGCCTCTCTTATCATCTGAAATTGCTTTTACTGCCTTTCCAGTTCTGGTGGAGGGTTTTTTTTGCTTTTCTTTCCCCCTCTCCTCTGTCTTTGCTCACTTCTTGTCTAGATGTGATGCTGAAGGACACTGTGGCTGTTTGCTGGCAAAGCACAGCCTGGCACAGGTGCTTTGGGTGCTGGGAGAGGAGGGGCTGGTCCAGAAAGGGTCTCTTGAAGCCACTGTTCCCCTGAGCCTCCTGACAGTGAAAGGAAATAGGAACATTCCTGCTTGTAAAAAGAAATATTACTGGAATTAAATACACAAAATAACCAACAGGGGGAGGCAATAAAGCATGTCACCCCAAGGAAAAGAGTGAGGGGAGGAATTCAAAGCAGCTACATGGAAATGAAAGCTGAAGGAAGCAGCACAGTATTAATCAGCATGAGCTCAGAGCTTTCTGACTGGGTTAGGTTTCTCTGTGGAGAGAGAGAAAACGAGTTACTTATTTTGTAGAGATTGCATTTTTGCAGCCCCAGAAGTGATTTACAGACAGATCCCACATCAACCTTGAATATATGTAATACATATTGCAAAATATTTCTTCAGCAGGCTGAAAAGTCACTGGGTGCCATTAAAGTTAGGCTGAAGAGTTTACAAGCATTTTTTTAAATTATTATTTCTTCAGCGTGATGAACAGGGAGGTTTTCACAAGAGACCTGACTATCTTGGGATCTCAGACTGCTTTCAATGGGAGAAATTTCATTTAGTCACTGAATAATAATAATGGTGCAGTCATACTTCTGAGTTCCTCAAAATTTGATCTCTTTTTCTGCTTGAAAATGTTGTGCAAATGAGAAAGGAGGAATTTAAATATCTCTCCTGTGATTTCTGATTATCATTCAGAGATTCTTCTTCCTGTATATTGATTAATGACCAAGTCTGAAGAGAGAGGAGGCTGAATCCAGGCTTTCTTATGGCACTGTTTCCTTGTTATGCTTTTACTGAGGTCTTTTTATTTCTGTATGCTCAGCTAAAGGTCTGAGCTGCAGAATTTCACATATCCTTTATGGCCATGGCCTCTGGGACTGACAGATCTGTGTGTGGAGTGGTGGGTGGAGAGAATAGATCCGAGTGTAATAGCCAGGTTTGGATGCAGCACCACTTTGTTTTCCTTGTCTCTCTTCCAGAACTGGTCCGGGATGAAGTGCCAGTTCAAGCTGCTGCGCATGGCTGTCGCCTTGATCTGTAGTGAGTATCACAGAGGCCTTGGCATGCAGGAATCCTGCTTTGTTAGTCCTTGTCATAACAGTTCATGCTGATTCAGGGAGTTTGACTTTGCAGCAGTTTTGGTAGGAACTTGCAGCTGGACCCTCTGGCAGCACAAACCACACCGCTCTCAACTGCAGATTTTGGCTTTCAACACCATGGTTTGTGAACGAGGGTTTGTCATCAGCCAGCTTGTGGTGTTTGTGGAGATGTGGGACTTAAACACCTTCTCCTGGGATTCCTAAAACAAGCAATGCTTTTGTAATGAGAATACTTGGGTTTCCTGGGGCACTTCCTATCTGGGGTGGCAGCAGCATTATCCACACGCTAATGAATTATCTTCTGGCCATATCCCCAGGGTGGCACAACAAGGGAAGCTAAGCCATGTGTTCATCACAGGCAGCTGTCTTCAAATTCCAACTCGTTTTTTTTTTATGGTTTTGGTATAAATTTTGGGAGGTGAATATTGCCCCACCTGTCTACACTCCCACTTACCAAGCACTGGGGACACCTCGTTTCTGTGCACCACAGTCCTGACACAGCTCAGGCTTCCCAGCTTCCCTGAGCTCACCATGCCGGGCAATTTTTCCCTCTCTGTCTCTCTGGGGACGCAGTGCTGCCTGCCAGATGGACTCGAGAAGGGACAGACAATTAATTTATCTTTCCTTCTTTGTTCCAGTGAGCTTTGAATTCGGCAGAGCCGTGTGGCTGCGGTTCCACCCCTCGGCGTACCCGCCGTGCCCCCACCCCAGCTTCATGGCCCACCTGGGAGGGGTCATGGTGGGAATCACCCTGGGAGTCGTCATCCTGAGGAACTATGAGCAGAGACTCCAAGATCAGACTTTATGGTGGATCTTCCTTTCTATTTATGTCATTTTTGTCTTGTTTGCCATCTTCTGGAACATTTTTGCCTACAGCCTGCTGGATCTAAAGCTACCTCCCCCTCCCTGAAACCACGGGACAGAGAACTGGAGAGCGGAAATCATCTGTCAGCTGTGTGGCATGAATGGAGATGGAGGATCTATTTTTGTGTTTAACTTAGGGGAGGATGATTCTTCTCAACACAAGCGTGTGCTGGAGGAGATGCTTAAGGATCTCATGAAAGAACGGGCTGATCAGTTTGTCCACAAATCCAGCAGGTTCTGCAGTCCTGGCTGGCCGTGCCCTGCGGTTTGTGCCCTGCCCCTGGGCACTCACTGCCTGGGCTGCTGGCACACATCAACGTTCTGTAGGAGATATCTGTATTTTCCAGGTCAGTGCTGGAATTAGGGCCAATTGCAGAGTGAATCTCCTCACTGTTACTGGACACTAAAAGGGAAAAAGAGCAGACATTTGCTAATTAGAGACTCACATGGTACTCACAGGGCGGCTTGAGTCTGGTCTCTATGGACACATCTGACTGTTCAGCCATACCAGTGCCACTGTCTAATTACTTGAATGGTTCTGAAGGTATTTTAGCCTGTGGTGAAACTTGTCTTGCACAACTTTCAGAGGAATCAGCAGAACTTGCTCACACAAAGTGATGGAGACTGGGCTCCAACCACAGGTCAAATGAAGTTGCACTATAAACATTGGGAATCTTTAGAGTGTTGTAGACACCCAGGCAGAGGTGACTTCTACTGTGCATGTTTCACTTGATTTTGATTAATTAGTCCCCCCCTCCCCAGCCTACTGTGGCAAGAGGGTGTGGCTGGGGTTTCTTTTTTGAGGGATGAAGAAAAGGAGGGCAAATGTTCATTTGTGGTTTTATCAGAGGACAATCAGGTGCTGTTTTTTTCTCACTGTATTTCTGGCCATGCTGACCTAACACCTGGCCTTGCAGTGAGCTCCTAGCAAGGATCTCAACTCTTCCAGCAGGTTCTTCCTAGAAAAGTGGGACCAGGATCACCTACAGCAGCCCAGGGTGGGAACTATCCAGCCTTTGCAGCCATACAGTCCATTTGGGGCCAGGTCCACTGAAGGCAGTGGAGTTAAATCAGGTTGTGTGCAGCACTGGTTTCCCACAGAAGTGAAAATGGTGTTATGGTGCTACAGTGATCATTGTCAAACAGATAAAACTGGTTTTAAGGTGACTGCTGCATTTTGAGGGTGCCTCTTCCTGAGGCAATGGATGTTCAGGAGCTCCAAACAAGAGTTAGTTGCAATGATGCCTTTTTCTTTAACGTTGGCCAAGGCCAGGTCCAGGCAGTGTGACTGGGCTGTGGCACAGTCCACACAGTTGCCTGCAGGGACCTGAGGACCACAGGGGAACATCTGTGGCATGAGCAGTGCCTACAGGTACTCCTGTCTGTAAGGTGCTTAACTTGTTGTCACTTTAGAGAGCTGCCAAACCACAGTCCAGGAATGTGGGTGCCCTCCTTTTCTCTCCCCTTTACCCACCTATTGGATGGTCTGGATAAAGCAGCCAGAAGAGTCTCTCCAGACAAGGTCCTCTTTTCCTTTTTTCCCTTTCCCTGCTGGTGCCCAGGCACAGCCCCTTGAGCCTTCCACAGCACATCTCACAGGCACTGTGGTAGTTGTGTAGCAAAATGTCTCTGTGTCGTGGGCTTTATTCTCTCAGTTGTGTTATCTGTGCTGCCATATGATACCACAAGCTGGTAGGAGTCTATCCTTCTGGAGGGGATATTCACAAGTGCTTCTCAGCTGCCCCCTTCTTTGCCTCCTGTGGGAAAAATAACTCTGGTTTGAGGGGTGAAGTTCTGCTCCCACAGAATGCACTGGAAAAAAACTTCTGTTGCCTCGGGGAAAGGGAGGGGGGAGAAAATAAGTGAAAAAAGCCTTACCTGAAAAGAAACAATTTTGGCACCCTTGTGCACAGAAATGGGATTTCTGAGGGTGGCAGCACCTTTGTTGTTCTGCATGGCCAGTGCAATGCTTGTGGGCCCTCAGACCCAGGAGCAAGAGGAAGAGAGAAGGGTCAGAGCTCTGTTCAGGTTCCCTGTGCCCTTTCACCTCTGCAGTTCAGATCCAGATGGAAGCAGTCACGAGAGTTCCCATGGATTGTTCCAGGTGCTGGCCCAGGGAGTGCTGTAGCAGTGGAGATCATGTCCTTGTGGAACTGCAGGGGAGCAGGAGAGCAGGGAGAGTGCTGGCAGAGACATGGTTAACAAGTAAGGAGGACATTCCTTCCCTCACCTATTGCTAAGCCTTTCTCATTAAAGATGCCTTTAAACAGAGGTGACCAGGACTGGGAGTTCCCTTGAAGTTTTAGGAAAACTTTTAAAATGTTGGTAGAAAATTCCAATTTGCAAAAAAAACCCCTCCAAACTATTTTGCCTGTAATTTACCAGAGTACAATATGCACCAATTGGCTTTTATTTTTGGTTTCTCAGCTGAAAGCTACTTAATGCCTATCAGATTCTCCCCAATGAGGGTTTCTGTGCCTGCCAGTGTGTGCTCTGGAGTGAAGGAGCAAGATGCAGATTCAAGAGCCACCAGTTTCTTCATCAGCCTGACCATGGCCAACATGCCTTTGGTCTGCTCAGGAGTGGGAAGGAGCTGAACAGAGTAATGCAGACCCCCCTCTCTGGTCCTTTATCCATAGATTAATGGAGTTTACATGAACTGGTTGAAAACAGCTCTGAGATTGAGTTTATGACTTGTTCTTTTAAACTGTTGTTCATCTTCCTGACTTCCATTCTGTCTCCCAATACCCTGCCTGAGCAAGTCTACAGACAGCCCTGGGGACCAGAAAGGCCAGACTTTAAAGCAGTACTAGATTTATTGGGAGTGAAGCAATGAAACCCTCTCACATTCCTGCTCATCAGAGCTGAAATCTCCCCCCATACATGGAGCAGGTTGTCTGCTAGGAATCGATCAGCCCACGGAGTCAGGAGCAGCACCAAGTGCTTAAGCTTTTGTAATTATTTCTTTTAATCACTAAAATTACAGTGTGAAAACTTGTAATGTTTCTACAGAGTACTTTGAGTTCTGGTTATGTTGTTTTCTAACACACCCAGGAGTGCCACAGTGCTGCAGCACCACAGAGCTGAGAGCAGCCAGGCTTTCCTGTTACCTCCAGATGTCCTTGGAGCTGCCGGCTCGTGTCAGAGCCGGAATATTCCCCATCCTGCTCATTTGTGGTTCCAACTTCTCCCAGTCAGCAACGTGTTCCTGAAGGAGTGTCCTCCAAGGGACTGTTTTTGGTGATTCCTATGGTTTTATTTCAGCTGCTGCCAAGATTTTACATCAGTCACATAAAATGTGACTTTATTGACCCTCCAGCTGTGCAGTGTCAGAGCAGGAGTGTCACCCACGGACAGGTTTGAACAGGGCACCTGAGAGGGAGTTATTTTGTGCTGTGTCCCTGAGTGAGGACACAACACCTAAAAAAAAAAATCAGCCGTTTCTGTGCAGGGATTCCCTTGCAGAGAGCACATTGCAGGTCCAGCGGGGATGGGGCAGGAGCAGTGCGGTACCCGGGAGCCGGGAGTGCGGGATGTGGAGCTTCCAGGGACACCTGCCGGCAGCGCGGAGGCAGGACGGGAGCCGGCTCCTGCCTTTCCTAGAACGGGATCCGGCTCCTGCCTCTTCCCCAGGACGGGACCCGGCTCCTGCCTTCCCCAGGACAGGCGGGAGAAGGGGCTCAGGCAGCCGTGGGGAGCAGGAGGAGGAAGGAGGAAAACCAGGTAGATCCAAGTCCAAATGGCACCTTTTATTCCCACAGGTAAAGATTAATTTTCCACAGGGTGATAACACAGGAAGGAGGAGGGAGAGAGTTGTAGTGCAGTAACGGGAGAGGAGGGAGGTTACCAGAAACAGTCTCTGAGTGAGGTGTAGCACTTGTACATAGGCTGATGAATTTACGTTTGCTGAGTTCTTAAGACAACATCTTGTGTCACTGTTCCCCCATCAGTCGAGGAGGAATCTTAGCACTTACATGGCATATTGTGATTTTTCACTACTTGCTCCTTTGGCAGTGGGAAGTATGTTATCAACAGGGAAAGGGGGAGGCTGGAGAAATTGTTACTAGAAATAAAGCTTGGGGATTCTGCATCCCAAGATCTTGCTCCTTCTGATGGATTACACTGCCTATGTGTTTCAGATCAGATCAGACCATTTCAGTTTGAGCTGGGCTAGGAAGGATGAACCTGACACTTTACAGCTGGCACTAACCTGACTCCCTGCTGACCTCGAGGCAGCTGCTGCTCTGTGCCAATATTTCATCTCACAGCATCTCCCGTGGGCAGGACTTTCACACATTCTTCAGTGAGTAAAGAGCTCAAAGTCTGTTTACACAGATTCCAGCTCAGCTCAATTACTTTGGAAACCCCATCCTCTGGCTTTACCCAAAGTGGAACTGGAGAATGTGGGTGCACTTCAACACCAGCCACCTCTGGGGACAAGCTGGGCCCTGGAGCAGCCAGGCCAGCACCTCTGAATGCTGCTGCTCTCCTGTTTCCTCACAGAGGTGGCTGCTCTGCAGTGCTCTGGGACAGAACTCAGAGGTTCCTCCTGCAATCACTGATGCCAAGAGCTGGTTATGAAGGAAAACAGTGCATTCTGCAGCTCTATAAAAAAAGAATCATACTTAAGACAGGAAACAAGCTTGTTTAAGGGTAAATGTATTTTTAATGTCACCATTAATCATTGGCTTTTAATTGGAAAAAGGTTTCTAATGAGGTATTTCTGAAATGTCAGTAGGAGTACAGAAAATTTATGTTTCAGGGTACTTTACAACAGGAGCACAAAATATTCCCTAGGCCTGACTTAAGTAGCAAAAGTACCTTATTTTCAGTGAGCTTGATAGACACGTTGTCACTGACTCTCTCCTGACTCCCCCACAGTGTCTGTTTAGTTTGCAAATAAAGCCAGATTTATGCAGCTTTTCTTTTGCTTAGACTGCTAATGTTAACAACACATCCGAGTGTTAAACACAAAGCACTAAACTAAGTGATTTTCTGCCTTAAAATACTGAACAAATGATACTTTCCCGTGAAGGGCTAGTAAAACAAAGTGATACTTGCAAGGTAAGATGCTATGGTACGTCTCCAAATATTTTTGTATTGTGTACATTCTGTATATTTTTGTTGTAACAATATTATTTGAGCGCAGAATCCATTAAATTTTTTTTGGTGTTTTTTTTTGTTTGTTTATTTGTTTTCTGTTTCATTTTTCTTTTCTTTTTTAATAAAATTAAGTTGTTCTGTATCGCGTGCCAAAAAACAACCAAGAAAAAACTTTCAAGGAGGGTTTTGTCAGTTTGTTTATAATTAACACATTATTTAACAAGAGAGCATTGGTTTGGAGCTCTGCAATGGAATCTTCTAACGATGACATTAGTAACTCGTTTTTATGTCTGTCTAGGAGATAAAGGGGAGAGTAAAGTGCAGCTTCACTTCTTTTGGGACATAATGAGGATGCAGAACCAGCTTGGGACTTGCATGGAAATTCAGGTCTTGTCCCACATTTTGGCAGCTGCCACTGCAGTGCAGCAGTGACCTCAGCACTGCAGGGAAGGTGACTACCAAGAACATTAAACTGTTTAAATGTTGTTATTGGGGAGGAGGGTTGTGCTCTTTTAACATCAGTCTCTACTGAGTGTCTTTAAATCTGAGAGCCAACACATCCTGGTCTCTTGAACCGACAGTGGAAACAACATATCCAGAAAGTTCCAATGTGGAAGCGGGAGGCTTATTTTGAAAAATATTTTATGTTGTTGTTGGGATTTTGTGGGTTAAAGTGTAACTTCCAGGGAAGAAGACGTGACCAGCAGCAGCTCCTGTTAGATGTGTTATTCCTAAGGGAGGAGATCACTGCTGCTATGTGTGGGACTCAGCTCTTCCTGGCAGCTCTCTGGAGACACTTAAATCTCTCTGTTCATTACCCGAGGACTTCCAGCAAGAAGGTGAGGTGGGTTTTGTCGGTGTTTGTCAGGTAACACAAGAAGTCTCACTGCCTACGAGCACCAAACTTTTTTCTTGCTACCTGTTCTTCACATCCCACTTACCTTTTTGAGCACTGAGCTGTGAATATGACACTTGCAGCTCCTCTGCATTGTGTGATAACAGGTTTTACACAGAAGACATCAAGGACAACACTCATTTGCAATTTACAGGCACACTACTAAGGATTTGAGTTTATTGTAAACTTTATTTCACACAGTGGTGTCACAGGAAAGCACCAAACTTCTGTCATCACAGTACAGAGCAGAGGCACAACAGTCACACTGAACCATGTTCATCACAGTCACTATTTCAGGGAGAATTCTCCCAACACCCTCTGCTGCAAAGGGAAACCACAGGAGTTTTGCTGTTATCAGGTTTGCAGAAATCATTCTCATTTAGGAGGTCTCTCAGAGACTTTGTGAGTTTGGATTCCAGCTGTAGCCAAAGATTTCCTTCAGGTATTCTGCTGCCCACCTGTCCTATGACGTGGGAAAGAATTCATTGCTGAAATACAACAAAATATTTTAAAGTCTGAACCTGGGAACTTAATTTACTTCAATTCTGAAGAAGTTTCATCTAATTTAAAGTTAATATTTAATCTATAAAATTTTCAGATTTAATTCTTCCTAATTAAAAAAACATATGATGATTTACAGTTAGCAAAATGGGTACTAAGAACATACAAAGGTGCTGATCACACCACAAACTAAGAAAGAAGGGATTCATCAAATAGCTTGGGAACTTCAGATGCCTGTCCTGTGTCACTGAAACTGTTCAGTCTTTAGGCAGCTCTGTCTCATACCATTTAATGACTTGTTTATCCAGTGACAGAACAGTCAGTTTGAAAGCAGAATGCACAAAGTAGCTACAGACTTGTTACCTATGTTCTCTTATATAATCTGATTAATTCATTTACTATAATCTATCCAGGTGTTTGTGCTCCTTTATTAAAACAAAGTAGCCAGATCCTAATGATTACACATGATAATTTTGAAGACATTTAAAATATTAAAAACACTGAAATGCTTGCCAGGTAAGGGATTTGGGTTTGGGTTTTCTTTCATGTAGTGACTGTAAAAAACAAACATCATGATTTCCTCAGAAGAGGAGCAAGTCAGTTGGACAATCTGGTAAGCACTAAAAACTCTGCAGGAGTTTGTATGATCTGATATTTACACATTAAAAAGCTTCATCTGAAAAAGACAAAAGGCAGGTGAAGCTGCAACTTAAGTTTGACTTGGGTAATACTTTTAAATATAAATTAAAAATTCTGCAATAGCTTCACGGAAGAAACGAATGATTTATACGTAAGGTAATTTTAAGCCACCGCTGTTTCTCTCATGAATTCCTCGAGGACGGTCACTACATTCTTGGCTTCTGGCATCTCTGCATGCTCCACTTTGACAATCTTCAGGAGGATGTCTCCACTGCCACAGTTCTTCAGGAACAGGTAGCACTTGAACAGGGCATAGTGGTTCATCTCAGCCTGGCGGATAAACCTCTTCAGGTTGTTAATGTCCTGGATGGCCTAAAAGAGCAAGCAGAGCATATTCTTATCCTTCTGTGTGGAAAGAAAACACATGACCATGTGGGAAATGAAGGGTATATAGCAGGAGAAGCAAAAGCATTTCCAATAGCAATTTTGTGTTACTACTCAAGAGTAATGTAAGCATGGAGTACTGTCCCTGATGTATATAACCACTGTTACTGTGGACACAACTTGGTGTGCCCAAACTTGCAGCAAGAATTCCCCTATTATGGCAGCTCACCTAAGAAGTGTTAACTACTGAACCCGTGTCACCAGTTACACCATATTGTGTGTGCACAGCTCAGATTAACAGGATTTAAAGAAAGGAAAAAAAATGTGGGTTTTATTTTAAATGAGAAAACACCTTTGGAACATTCACTGAGGAAACTTCCATACTGCTTTATAGGGGTCAACTGCAGTAAGCCAAGCCTCAAATTAAACTTCAGGGTTACTCAGTTAATGACATACAGACACTGTAAATAACCTGCAACTTTTTTTTGCTGCAAGAAGAGTATTTGCTCCCTCAGCAACCCCCATGTCTTCTTCAAGTCTTTAACATATATGAACATGTACCTTCAGTTTGAAGTTTTCCAAAATCTGCCGGAAGAGAAATGGATTGCCACCTTCAGCACCGTTCACAAAAGCCTGCATCCAGTCCTCACAGAATCTGTTGCTCCCTGTTACATGTTCAGGAACATGGAGAAGAGAAGAGTAAATGAGCTCCACATAAATATACAGCTGCATTCATCTGGTTTAATCCCTCTCATGTAACAGCTGATAGTCGTATACCTGGGCCAGAAAATAAGTTTTAAGGAAAAACAGTATATGTGGAAGAGAAAAGCTAACACAGCTACAGTGATTACATGACACTCTGATTGTTGAATCCCTTTTCACAGCATTTGTTAAAATCACAACAGGAATAATAAGTTTTGCAGATTCCCTGAATTGTACAAGTATTTTCATAGGGATGAATGATGGGTGTTATTACCAAGCATTTTCAACCCAGAGTTCCAGTGTCTGGGGTAACAAACCACCCTGGTACTTCCTAGGACAGATGTTGTGGCTTCCAGCCAGAATCCCAACTTTCTGGGCAGGAGCCTACAAGTTTCTGAATATCCTCAACAGCCTCTGCCGTGCCCATCTGTGAGCAGCTGCGGGATCCCAGGGGCGTACATGAAGCATTCCCAGCTGTGATCTCACCTGCATTGTGTAACTGGGGCTGAGCTGCACTGCAGTCTATAACCAGGGACTTGTGCTGTTCCTCGGTCATGGCAATGCACAGGGAGGTCATTGTGCCTTCCTGGACCAGTCCTTGCAGGCTGGCAGCTGCCAGGAACCTGGCACAGAGAGCTCTTGTGAACTGCTTGCTTCTTTACAGCTCCTGGACAGCAGGGAGGAGGCTGTCACACACAGAAGCCAAGTTACTCACAGGTTCCTTGGTCCCAAAGTATCTTTACCTGCTGATGTCCTTTTCTGTTCTTTCATCTGCATTTTTTACTTCTACAGGAGTATAACTCAAAGCCTGAACACAAACAAAGAAAAAAGCTGGATGCAACGGTGCTATTACTGCTGTTGCTATATTGCAGTTATGAGCAATAAATACATAATGTGGTACTTTAAAAATTGTTCTTTTCAAGGCAGTACTCCATGTTCTAGTTATTGCAGCAGGTTTTGCACTCAGAAGAAATTCAGCAGTTACACTCTGTTAGCTATTCCATCCAAAGCCTCCTCAATCTCAGGGATTAGAGCTAGGATTAGTTTCTTTTCTGTTTCCAGTGAATTACAGGAGGCACATACACAATATAACACCCCTTTTTGTTCAGGGGAATTATACCAGGGACAGCCTGCTCAGGCTATTTCTAATTTTCTTATTCTAATTTCAACGTGGGCACTGTTAGGTAATTTTATATGAGTTAACTATAATAATTAATGGAAGAAATTGTTATGTGTTTCCTTATCAATAAAGGAGGGAAAAGGTACTTGTGCTGAATTAAAAGGGGGAAAAAAAAAAGAAGAAAAAAGCTGCTCTTCATTTCCTCCTGCTGGGAAAGCAAATGCAGGAAACATTTTAACTATGTTGGAGTCACTGAGGTGCCTTCTGAAGGTTTTTTAGTTACCCAGTTTTAAATACACTTACAGCGTGTAACAGAGAGGCCAGTTTGTCCTGGAAGAGCTGCACCACCCTCTGGATCGGGCAGATGGCATCCTCAAACCAGCTCCTCAGGTAGGGGCTCACACAGCTCTCCAAGTTCTTTTGCTGTGACAGGTTGAAACGTTAAAGCTTTAACTACAAATTAGATTTCTACACAAATAGAAGCCTATTAATAATCTACTCAACCTAAGATATTTGGATGTCAGAGCCTTCTTAATCCTAAACCACAGAGAACTAAAATAATGAGTTTGACATTTAAAGCCGCACTTTATCAGCAATGAAAGGCTTTGCATTTTAAGGAACAGCCAGAACTGAAATATTATGGTATATATTGAGCAAAGACCATGCAACAGCAGACTGGGTGACAAAGAGACTTAAGAGGAAGAGTTTCCACTAGAAAAATGTGACAAGAAACCCACAAAAAATCCTTCTTTAACATTCAGAAGGGGTAAGAATCGAGGTGGACATCAATGATTTCCTTGTAGACCATTATCTTTTATTAGT